CATCATCTTAACAACTCTATCTCTTCTCTCAACCAATCCGCAAAATTATATATTTCTCAACTCTCTAATTTATATCTACTTCTCACTCCCTGGATTTCTAAAGCTAACTTAGAATGGAAAAATCTCTTCTATGCTCGTAACATAGAAAATATCAAAGAAATCAGACAACAAATTTCTGATACTATTAACAAAAGATGTTCTAAACTCCAGACTTATCCTACTTCTATGATTAATAGTATTCTTAACCGCCACAAAGATCTAGTTAATTTAACAATATTAGACTAGACAATGATATTATTAGTGACCCTCCAACTATTAAATCTCATATTCAACAACACTTTGACAACTGGACTGCTCCTCGACATATTGACTCTGACGTTTTCAATTTTCAATAGCAAACAGAATACAATCCTAAACCTGACATCAACCCTATATGGTATTCCAATACCTTCTCCAACTTCACTGAGGTTGAAATCATGCTAACTATTAATCAACTTCCTAACAATAAAGCTTGTGGCCCATCAGGCATTAGCTATAAAATGATAAAACATGCTAGCTCTAACTTCATCACTACAATAACATCTTTCTTTAACCGTTGTCTTTCCTCTCAAACTATATCTAAACAATGAAAAGAAGAATGTATTTTCTCTATGTCCAAAAAATCTATCTTCGATGACAATTTATCCAATACTAGACCTATCAGTCTTATAGAGTACATCAAAAAACTATATACTAAACTCCTCACCAACTGTCTTAACCTTACTCTATCTTAACACAATATTCTCTTACCATTCAACTTTGTCGCACTCTCTGAAAACTCCACTTCTATACCTATCCATATTCTTAATAATATAATAGAAGATGCAAACTGCAATTCAAACCAACTTTGGCTCCTTTCTCAGAATATGAGTAAAGCCTATGACTCTGTTAACTTCGAACTATTTCAAAAATCTTTGTAGCAAATCCAAATGCCTCAACAGCTCATTAATATTCTAACCAATCTTCTCTTTGATCATACCAACCATGTCATTACTAATCTTGGTCTTACCAATTTTTACTCAATTAAAAATGGTATTGATCAAGCTGAAACTATTACCCACTCTTTTGGAGGATCTACTATAACCCTCTTATCTCCAATATCTCTTCACACTTTTCTGGATATACACTCTCTACTTCTTATCAAACCATCCTTATCCACCCTTCTACTCATCATCTTAATACCTCCATTTCAGTTCTTGCTTATATGGATAACACACTATAGATTGCCCAATCCAAAACACAACTTGAAGAATTATTAAAATTGCTTCCTCTTTTTATTCAATGGCTGATATCCAAGTCAATACCACCAAATCTATATTTATTACTAAGGAGTCTTACTCTAATCTTTCCTTTCTCAACTCTTTCCTACAATCTATTCCAACTCACCAGCCTTTCAAATTCCTGAGATGCTGGTTTACTCTCAATAACAAACAGTTCTCACAAATCAAACTCATCCAAGACGAAGCTATTCAATTAGCCAATATCGCTGGCACTAAAAATATAACTAATAAACAAATCACTTATATTATCAATACTGTTATTATTCCAACTACTGAATACCGGCTTCACAATGTTGTAATTTCTCTTTACAAATGCAACCAAATCTTGGGCAAATACCTTACTATAGCCAAACACAAAGCACATCTTTCCCGCTCTACTCCCAACAGCACACTTCTCAACTTCAATCTTTATAATATTCATAATATCTGGGATATACAACTACAACATCATACTAGCAATTTTCTTAATAGAATTAATAATTCTTTTACACTTGATACTACAACACATATTCGACTTCAACAACTCCAAAACAACCTCTGGTCTGCAACTAATATTCTCCAACACCCTCACCCTACTATTGACGGCCCTAATAAACACACTACAACTCTAAAAATTATACAACTCTTTAATTATCTACATATTTCTATACATGCAAATCAGACTCTTCCTGGCCCAAAACCATAAATGATAGCAAACATTCTTTCTAACTACCCCAAATATAATACTTTCAAACAACAACTCAGACACAAACACATGTTATACTTAGAGCAACTCTGTTCTGCAGACAACAAGACCTTGTTAGACTGGCTACACTTATCCTCTAGAATTCTATATATTTCTAAAGGCAAAAAACCACTTTGGTTTAATTACTTAAAAGACTCTATTCTTGAACATAATCTATCTTATGCTATTCTACCCCACTTCTAACCCAAAAGCTCTAATTCTTTTGCATATCAAACCAACCTCATTCCTAAAACCCATAAACCCTGGGTTTTATCATATTACAATGAACAAATTGTAATTGGTCAAGTTTGCAGAACTTTTCACCAAACAAATACTATCTTATAACACACTGGCAACATAATATTGACACTTCAATTTCCAATCACTATCCTCTACCCCCTATCTCTTGTACACCCTGTCAAGGCTGTAACCTCAACTCTAATCGTATTTCTAGTTGTTGTACTTTAGAAGTATCTGCTATCTTTTCTAGGAAGAAAAAAAGCTAACAAACAACTCAACCTCAATGCAAACTATATAGACCTTATTTACTTTACTAATATCAAACACTCTCTGGAAATACCACCACCACCTTCAATTAATATTATTGACTTTTCTATATCCTCAATCTTTTATAACAATGAAGTCTCTCTTTAACTTACTCAAATTGCACTAGCAAACTTATCTCAACAGCAATTTATTTTCTACACAAATGGATCTGTTAAACAACTTGGTACTAACCAATGCTCTATGGGTATTAGCTAGGTCCAAATACACAACAACCTAGTCATACAAAAGTTTTCTGCTCAAATTTCCAATTGGTCCTCTTCTTATAAGGCTGAACTATTAGCAATATTATCTGTTTTCTACTATTCCATGTAACTCTAGCCTACAAATTTATACTAACTCACAGTCAATTATATCTAATTATAATAAACTTCTTACTTTATTTTCCCACTCTACCAAAAACTTTAAATTTAATTCTTGGCCTATTTGGCATACACTTCTTAATATTTTAAAAGCCTTCAATATTCAACTTTCTTTCTTCAAAGTCCAAGCTCATTCTGATGACACCTTTAACAATCTGGCAGACCAACTTGCTAATAACTATTCTACCTCTCCAATATTATCTTTTAATGATATTAACTCTTATAACCCTTACTTTATTCTATCATAGAAAGATAACTTTATTGATAGCCCTTCAAGATAGTTCACTAAAGAAATATGACATACGCACAATATAGCCCTATAGTCTTCTCGAAATCGTACTCAAGAATGGTCTCATTTCTCTCATCAAATTGACTGGAAAGCCTCTTGGCTCTACTTCAATAACAATCAAAAAAATTTCACATAACTTTACTAATTCCAAACTAAATCACTTAAAATCCTTCAAAATCAAAATGCTACTTAATATACTACCGACTTATACACATTTTTACAATATATATTCCCACATATTTACATCTCCTAACTGCTTTTCTTGCAACAACTTAGACTCTCTCTTTCATTGGTACACTTGTCCCAATCATACTCTTTTAAACCAAACTATTAACTCTTCAATATATGATATTATTACCAATTCCAATCTTGAACTTTCTTTTTACCAAATAAACAACCTTATACATACTATCTCTTCATATCCTGCTTTTAATCTGCTATCATCTCAATTACACCTCTTCTTTCTTAATTCTACACTCAAAGGCCTCATATCTCTAATCCAATCTTTAGAACTATTTGAAATCTCATACTCTAATGCTTCTCAGCTTATTATTCGGCTACTTCTTAAAATCTTTAATAAACTTTATAACAATATCTGGATTCCATACTGTACTAATTTCTCCAACTAGAAAAAATCTCGCCAAATTCCTTCCTACTCTAACTTCAATAGACAACCTCAATTTTCTCTACAGTCAACCAATAGAATAAACAAAATTAACTACACATACAGTTGCCCTTGTGGCTCTGCTGACCAATTACACTCTGATTCTAATACTTGTCCTCCTATAGGACAAGCTACTCTTAAAATTAATATTTGGTCTACTATGTGGATTAAATATAACACTCCTATTAACCATATCTTAACAATTCAAACCTAGGTGAGTCTTGACCACTCTAGTAGGTTTAGGTTACAGATAATTAGTTTGAGCTTTTAGTTTGAGCTTTTAGTCTGAGCTTTTATTCTTGTCTATAATTTATATTTATTTGTTATTATACAAATTAAGTTTTTATATAGTTGATATGTAATTACTTATATAAATTAACCAATAAAGATATGAGCAAGGCCTCACCTTAATATCAAAAAAAAAAAAAAATTTTAAATTTGATTTTTAAAATATAATGTTTCAGACTTATACTAATTCTCAGTTTCTAGTTTCTTTCATTCTCATCATAATAATTAAAATTATTGCTAAGATCAAATTCTTCTATATTATTCTCTTTATTGTTATCATTATTATCTAAAAATTCTATATTGTGGCTTATTTGATTTGACATTTCAAGACTTTTATAATCAAAAATTAATTCATCTTCAGACTCATTTCTATTGTTATAAATACTACAACACTTGAATGATTATTGAATCAAACCAATATCAACTGCATTCTATGAAGTATTAATCTAATTTACAATATTTTATAAGAAAGCCTCTTGATTTTATCAATAGGTATTAATTGCTTTATCAACTCAGCCATCCACTCATTATAATGTTTTCACATCTTATTAACAAACAATAAATAAGTAGATAATAATTTAAATAAAGGATATTCTTACTTTAGTTTTGAATAATTTATTTATCAAAACATCTAAAGGCTACAAATGCTTTTTTAGTCTCCCAGAATAATAGTTCTTTTTTCATCAAATCGATGTTTTACAAAATTAACTATATATACTCTAAATGAGCCCAAAACAAGTAGAAACTATAGATTATAGCATAGTGTGCATTTAACCTAAATGTTTACAACCTAATAAAGCATTTCTTCTTCATTCATCCATCCTGAAAAATTAGCCTAAACAACTACAAATAGAAAATTACCTCAAGGAATATTCTTAAGCTTAAAGATCACAGTAAGAAGAAGTTTTGTTCTATTAGCCATACAACTTATACTATTGTAAAGTTAGAGTTTTTGTTTCCTGTTGTTTGAATACTAATAGATCGAGCACCCAATTCATTAACTGCTACCATAGATATTTCATCTATATTACTAATAAGTGCTAATTGATAATTATTTGGGGAAATTACAAATAAAAGCCTAAACTAAAAATAATTACAAATAAGAGCTCAAAATAAAAATAATTACAAATAGAGCCCCGATTTTTAAAAATTATTACAAATAAGAACCCAAATATATTGCTAGTCAAAAAAAGTTAGTTTAAACATAACAGCATTATAATTAATTAGACATTTTAGAATTTCAATATATTGAATTGTATTATTAGCCAATTTTGAATGTTACTACACAAGCCTAATTACATGTTATAAATACTATTTAATATTAAATAATACATACTATTTTCTATTTGACTATATGTATATGAATTATGACCTGTATATTATATTTATTGCAAGTAACCTGATTTTCTGATGCTATTTCTCTATGACTAAGCAACTGAGTTTTTTGTGGCCATCCTGCTTGTTTAATTGTAGTTGGTGACAAAGTTTCATTATCAAGAATACATGATTCTGCATCAACTAGTTAATGATTCTATAAAATTTTGACAAGTTGAATCATAAGAAATCAACTTTATTATATAATAAAACTATCTTTGTACTTGTTAGCTTAAATAGTAAAAGAGTATGAACTATTTTTATTCATAAGACAAACAGCAAGTAGCTTGTTTGGTTTGTTATTTCTAAATTTATAAAGTAAAGAGAATTTGACCAAGTAACTGTTCAAGGCTAAGCGAATATTTTTCATATTAGTAAAAGTATTGCCAATTTGTAATGTATCTAACATAGTAATTGTTTTAAGCAGATTTTTTTAAAATATGTTTAGTAGATTGAATAGATTAGAAGAAGTATGTATATTTTTTATTACATATTTGAATTTATATTTAAATTATTAATTTATTATTATAATATTTCTTATATAGTTGATAATTAATAACTATATTATGTATTATATTTATTGATAGGGCTTGATCATAGATATTTGAGTTTAAAATTTTTTTGAGCTCTTACTGTATTTATAATAGTTTTCAAAAATAGGGCCTTTATTTGTAATTATTTTCATTTTGAGCCTTTATTTGTAATTATTCTCAGTTTTAGACCCTTATTTGTAATTTCCTCTAATTATTTTGTATATGGGGGTGAGTCAATAGAAAAGAGACAAATCATTTTTAGTAAAATTTTTTTAATTTTTAAATTAAAATATCTCAATGACTATTTAATCAAATTTGCTAAAAATTTTTTTATTTTAATCTTGAAATTATATAGAATTAAATAAAAAAAATTTTATTAAATTTGATAAGATTATTGTCAAGATATTTAAGCTCAAAGTCAAGAAAACTTTTACTTAGAAAAAATTTGTTCCTTTTCTATTGATTCACCCCATATGTTGATACATAACAAAAAACAAAAATTAATTTTTTTGTTTAATTAGATCTTTGGGCAGACGTTATGCAGTAGTGGTTTTTTAATGATTACTTAAGTTATTACAATGCATTAAACTATCTAACTATTTATTCAAAAAAGCAAAGGATTCAATATCAAGATAAATATTTTTCCATTGAGATTGTTGCACAAATAATTTTGCCTTTACATTGCTTTTTAACTATTTTTTTGTTCTCTTATTTATTTAACCAAGGTAGCTTCTAAAGCCAGATACTTAGAGAATACACCTTTATTTAATTTTTTTCTACCAGGTTGTGCTTTAAAAGTTGATCCTTTTTGGATATTTAATCCCAAAGTTGTTTAGTCTTGATATTAAATTTAGTAGCCATTTTAGTTTTATTATGACCATTTTTATAGTAAAAAATAGCTACAAGTTTTCATATATATTCCATTAATGATGCAATTTATTTGTTATTTATACATGACTTACAGACTTATTTGCACATATAGGCATTACTAAGAAAAAATTATATAATGAAAACAAATTACTTGTATTTTATTCAAAAATTGTATTTATACAATTTAGAAGCTTATAATTATTAATAAATTTTACAAATATAGTAGTTCTTTATATGAATTATTAAAAATTCTACAGTATTTTATAAAACATTTGTGTTCTTTTCACGTGACCAATTTGATAGTTTTTATAAAAAAAATTATAATTCTGATTGGTCAATTAGCTCTCCTTCCAAAATTCTCCTTATATAATACTCCTCCTTACAGTATTAGATATCTAATGTTCTTAGTGTTCTCAAGAACAATTAAAAAAATTTGAAAATATTAATTTTAAAAATTATGTTCTCTTTTGAAAACAAACTAAGAATATAAAATTTATAATTTATATTCTCATAGGATATATAGAAAATATATAATTTCTCTTTTTTTAATATTTTTTTTAATTTTTATAATTTAAAAATATTAAAATATTTACAAGAATATAAAGTTATAAATTTATGTTTTTATAATACTAAAAAAAAAGTTTCAGAAATTTAACACTGCCCCCAGGTACTATTCAAGTTAGCAGAGAATGTTTCTTGAATAAAACCAGGGATCTTATAGGCAGCGCTATATAGAAGATGATATATTATGTTTACATTTTTTACATATTACAACTTATATTTGCTAATATTAAAATATACATTAAAAGCTCTATTTTTTGAGATATTATCTAGTAATTTTTAGTATTAACCTTTATAAGAAAGGGAAAAAAAATGATACCAAATTTTATATAATTATGACTATAATCTAGTTAAAAACCTTGGTCAAATAATCAAATAGATAAGTTTTGTGCTAACAAATAAACAATTTAAATTTATTTGCTTATATAGTATTTTAAAATGCAATCATATTTGTTTTTATACATATTAATACTATATAGGCAATTTGATTTCTTAAAACTGAACCAATATAATAATTTAATATTGTAATATTGGCAATTATCTAATATTCAAGTGAGCCAGGAATAGTAAACTTTATAGTTGTTTATCATTTTTTAAAATATCTAGATCATTTGGTATATGAAAATAATCACATGATTATATAATTTCAAAGTTATTTTTGGGTCATTTACCAATACTGCTGATAGTTCAATTATTAGTAAGTTTTTTCTTATTTCTTAAACTGTTAGATTTAGCATTCAAATTTGCATGCTAAAATTTTTAAATAAAAATTTAACTCTAAAAAAAAAAATTTTAATAAAATTCTAATTTAATAAGCTATAGTAATTTTCAAGGATTCAAGTTATATAGTGCACTTCATAGTTATAGCATAGATTACTTTATGTGGCCTAAACAGAAGTACAAATTTACACAATAGCTGAAAAGTATATTATTTTACCTATATTTTTGACAATCTTATCTCTTTAAAATTACTTCACAAAATTAATTATATAAAGTTGGTCATAAAGAATCTTTATTATATTTAATGTTATATTAGAGTTTTAAAATTAAAATCAGAGAATTTTATTTTATTTTTCTGATTTATAATTCAACATAGTAAAAATGTTATTGAAAAAACTCTATTTATTTTTGAAAAGTGACATTTATTTGTTAACTTTGAAAAATATACATAGGGTGATTAATAAGTTTTGTTGTTTATATATTATTTCAATCAGTTTTAATTTTATAGTTTAAAAATTATATATATAAAAATAATAATTTTATTGAACTTGTAAAAAATTAAAAATTTAGTAAAATTAAAATATAAATTAATTTATAAAAATTAAAATTTTCTATATAATAAAAAAAATTATATAATAATCTAGAGAATTGCTAATCTTAACCAAAGGAGAAATTTCCTGAAGATACTATATCTCAATAGTATACTAAGTAAACGGGATCAGTTTTCTAAGTAAAAATGTTCAGGACCCCAAAAACTTTACAAAAACTAAGATTGGGCCTTATCAGGCTCTTATAGTAGCTCTATATTATTTTATATAAAAAAAAATAATTCTCTAATTTCTAACCCTAACCCTAAAATAACTTGGGGAAATTTCTCCTCTGTTAAGAATTGTTATTTTCAATAATTTATATATGTTGTGCCTCAGATCCTTTCCCGCGTCAGATCGAAGATGACGCACCTCAGATGCCGATCGTCAGGTGAGGTGCGTAACTTGTAGATCGGTCACTTGAGGTGCCTCAGTTGTAATATGAGGCACAAATTAAAAATATATATAATCGTTTTTTTTTTTATTTCAAATGTAGTACGTACGTTCGTAATTTAGCAAATTTATTGCACTACGTAAATTAATTTAAAAGCACATCAAGCAATATATTTTATTTATTTATTATTGCTTTACATATTAAATTAAAAATTAAATACTAATTTTTATTCGAACAGGACCGCCCACCATGACATCGGCTTGTGCATTTTCCTTCGACCTTTCTACATCTACACCTATTAGTATCACACGAACCCTTACAACTGCAAATAGAGCTTGATACCATTCCAACACTTTGGAGCCTTGACGCCTCTCGGGTGGATATGTTGCCCGGTGGAATTGTATCAAGTTCAGGGTAAGTTGAAGTTCCAAGTTCTTCGAGTTCACCAGCGGAATAACATACATTGATCGTGCCAAATTTACATCCTAGCCGGAATTGTTGCTCACCAGTTTCTTCTAAAATTTTACAGGGCAAAGAGGGGCGATCGATACTAAACCGATCTATCTTTGGAATGCTTATCCGAACAAGGTCCCCAACCTTAAAATTATTTAATTTCCTTTTCTTCAACATTTGCTTAGTCATCTTTTCGGTATATTGTTGAAGATCTTTTCGAGCAATAGTTCGTAGAATTTCATGTCGCATAACATTAGCGTCTTGCTTCGTAA